GGCTTTCAAGGTGATGAAGCGGCATGAGCTACCAGCGAACTGCCGCATAGTGCCCTGTAAAGGGGTTTACACAGTGAAACCAGACAAAGGTCCACCGGGCTACAGAAGGAAAACAAGGTTTGTGGCGTGTGGAAATTACATCTCTGAAGAGTCTGCTACTATGGATCTTTTTGCTGCCGGGCTGGATGCTACTTCGCTTCGGACCATGTTAGCCTACAATGCAAAGAAACCGTGGCGGATTGGAACCACAGATGTGCGCCAGGCTTTCGTTCTTGCGAGATGGCGAGGGGAGCCAGTGGCTTTGGAACCGCCGGGAATAGCATATTTGCTCGGCTTAGCAGTTCCAGGAGATGTATGGTTCGTGCAGCAAGCTTTGTATGGTTTGCGCGAATCCCCAGCCCTTTGGTCAATGTTTAGAGATGAACAGTTGAAGCTTGCTCGCTGGATAGTCAACATCAGTGGTCAAGAAGTGAAGATGAAGTTGGAACAGTTGGTCTCCGACAATCAAGTATGGAAGATCATACCGGAGAATGGCGGTGAGGTCTACGGCTACGTTCTTGTCTACATAGACGACCTCCTAATCTATGCTCAGGAGGAGGCCATGGAAGGTTTCTTCAAGTGGGTATCAGCAAAATGGGAGGTTGACGATTTGGACGTTCTTGACTACAACCACCCCATCCGGTTTTTGGGCATGGAGCTTCATAAAGTTCAAGGAGGTGTAGAGTTGGCCCAGGAAGGCTTCGTCAACGAGATTCTCAGATCCTACCATCACGAGGGAGGACGTTCATACTCCCAAGGTCCAAGAGAAACTCTTCTCTTGACCGAGGAGGAGGAACGAGCGCTTATCGATGCGGAGCCCAGCAATGTAGACCCTAAGGACCCAGAAGTGAAAGAAGCACAAAAACGTGTTGGCGAGTTGTTGTGGCTTGTGGGTCGTACAAGACCGGATATTCAACACACTGTTTCGATAATGGCTTCGAGAATTACAAGGTCGCCTGGAATGGTGAACGTGGTTGGAAGGCGGCTCCTGGACTATCTCTCGGAAACCAAGTACTACAGGTTATCCTTCACCCAGGATGAGGAGGAGAGCGTCGAAGCTGTAAGCGTCTACACCGACAGCTCTTTCTCTCCCAGTGGAGGAAGGTCACATGGAGCGGTTGCGATCTTCTACGGGAACAACCCTTTAAGCTGGAGGGCGTCAAGGCAGCCGCTAACTACTTTGTCAACGGCGGAATCAGAGCTGGTTGAGGCCGTGGAAGGAACTTTGATGGGCCTTTCTACTAGGTGTCTTATCAATGAACTCAAAGGAGAAGAAGTTCCTCTGTGGCTATATGTTGACAACAAGGCTGCTGTTGCTCTCCTGACTACATCATCAGGGAGCTGGAGAACAAGGCATCTACGCCTTCGCAGTAACTGGGTGAGGGAAATGCACCATCGCAAGGAGATTGACATCCTGTTTTGCCCAGGTCAGTACCAACGGGCAGATTTGGGAACCAAGCCCTTTACCAAAGAACGTCTACGGCAACTGGTAGCCTTATGGAATCTACATGATCGGCGACCAGATGTTGAAATAAGGACAGTAAGAACGTTTGGGAATGAGGGCACATGGCTACAGCGTCTACTTCTCCTATGTCAAGTTTGTGGAACATGGGCACAGAAGCAGGAGTTACAACCAGAAATTCCCTGGGACTTGTACCTGGTGGTGTTGATCCTTGGAGTTGCAATCATTGGACTCTGGGAAGGATTGAAGAGCTGCGTCCGGAGCTCTGAACCAAAGGTCAAGGCTTTGAGGATGAAGGCTTCAAGAGCCACAAAGGGAAATCTCACAAGGAATGAGTTGAAAGAACTTCAAGTTTTACTTTCAATCAGTCCATCCGACCTCACTAAAGAGCAAAAGGAGAGGATGTTTGACTTGAAGGAAAAGTTTGATGACACCATGCCCGAAGGATGTTCTCCGATGCCCAGATGTTCACCCTCGGAATGCCTACCAGAAGTTCCACTTGGAGATTCGGCCTCTTCATCTACTACACCTGTGGTTGGTCGGAATAAGCAGCCCAAGCCAAAGGAAACCAGAGATCAAGCCACGCAGGCCGACTACGAGCCGGTTTTTACGAGGGTACAGCCACAACCACCGCCGCGGCGAGAAGTAATCTCGGGGCCCTTTTACCAGGTCCCTGGAAGAGATCACCTACATATCTTCCGGGAGTGCTGGGGTCTACGGAATGCTGGACATGTGCAAAGGGTGACCCTATGCCGATGTTGCCTGGAGAATGGCGGCAATCGAATCTATTAAAGCAGCGACTGAAATGAGGCTACCATTTTGGAGCCGCCCTGGCATCAATGTGGTGTCTCCCTATCGAGAACACCAAGGAGGAGTATAGATTCCCGAAAGCCAGGGTTGATCAGTCGATGGGCTGCATGCAGTGTAAGCTCTTGTTTGCCAGCGGATGGCTCAATCGAGCCAATCAGTGGCCCTGCGAGTTAGGCTGAAGCAACATGTATAGGCCAGCCTAGCTATCAAGATCGGCAGAAGCCAGCAAAGGGCTTTAAGCCATGATCAGCAGAAGCCAGTCGCACTGAGGTCTTTGCGTGTAAAACAATCGGTTAGAGCCTCTCGTCGATGCTTGGTGCTTCAACAGCATAAACCCTTGCCCGAGAGCGCCTACAGTCGGAACCAGAAGGTTCTTCAGTGGCCTACGGGTAAGCTTTAATGTTGAGAAACTCACGTTTAGGGCCTTGAGTGCCTCAGCCCGCACCCCACCCAAACGCCCAAAACCCTTACCAACACATCTCGGACCTATGATTCGAGATTCCCCAACCCTTAAACCCTAAACCCTAAACCCTGAACCCTAAACCTTATAAGCCCTAAGCCCTAAACCCTAAACCCTAAGCCCAAACACCCCAACACTTCGACCCTGAACTCTGAAACTCGAACCCTCAGCCCTGCACCTTGTCATACTACGCTATACCTTGGATACTGCCCCCATACAGTAACAGTCCATAATACGGTTGATGATATAAATCCTGCATTACCTTAAGGGCTCTAAACTATGGGAATTATGGTATATTCCTGATTATGGGTCATGCAGGATTTATATCATCAACAGTAGGGCTACTATTAAGGGCCCAATATACCTATATTATGGATATTATCCAACTGTTACTGAGTGGGGGCAGTATCCAAGCTATACCATAATCTACTCTAGCCGACTCTAACATTATACCATACCACCATGCACTGTCATCTACTCTGGTATATGGGAGTTTCCGGAAATCGGGGACCCTAATATAATACCTTTCATAGTAGGGTCCTTACTATAAGGACCCCAAAATAACGTACCCTAATTTTCGGAACTCCCATATAGAAACCCCAAACCCTAAATCCTAAACACTATAGAAACATCCTGAACCCCTGAAAAGTCTCGTTTTGCCCTACGCCTCGCAGCTTAAGCCACGACCTGGCTCAGGGTTGCACTCCTCCGAGGCGGGCGTTCAGGGTATAGGGTTTAGGGGTTCCCTTACAAGTTCCCTTACGGGTTCCTTTAATCGCTCCTGCTTAGGGTTCCTGTGTCGGGTACTTTGAAAGGTTTAGGATGGTTTAGGGTTAAGAACTTAGGGCCCCTTATGCGGTTTAGGGGTTAAGGGCTCTTTTATGGTGTTCCTGGAAGGAGGATTTCAAAAGAGGGTTCCGGTATACAAGGAGGTTGCTGGAGTTCCTATACTTACGAAGTTGGGAGCTGGCTTCAATGGTAGGCGTTTAGGATTAGGCGGCCGCGATGGCTTGGAGGCCCAAACCTGAAATCCTATAAGCCCTAGACCCTAAACCTTAAACTTTCATTTGGGAAACCCAACTCCCCCTCAAGCTGAGCTTTCCAATGTGGGACTTCGGGGGGAAGTCCGAAGAAAGCTTCAGATGTCGTGACTTGGAGTCACAAGCACCCGTTCAGGGTTTAGGGTTTAAGTGTCTCGGGTTTAGGGGATCCCCAAAACCCTAAAGCCGTAAAGCCGTAACCGCTGAACAGGAGACGTAAGGTTGACATTTCAACATCTAGGAAACTGGGGGTTTTTGGGCCTTAGGGTTTCGGGCAGGGTTGATGGTTTCAGGGCTTTGGGATCAGAGCTCGGCCTTTAGGCTTTAGGGTTGGGTGTGGAATTTTGGGCCTAGGGCGAAAGGTTGAGCTTTAGGCACACGATCCAACTTTCGTAGCGCTGAGGGCTTGCGAGTTTAGGGTTTAGGATTCAGCAGAGTCAGAGATTTCAAGGCGACGGGCATGGCATGCGGCACATGTTTCGAAATAAACGTAAATGATTAAACGAGCCGAAACCCCAAAACCTTAGGGCACTAGAAAATAAGGCTGAGATAAGAAACGTGCTGGCACTATAAGCGAACTGCGCTTCACTCCACGCATACGCGCATTTCACCCAGCGAGCCACGGTAGAAGACCCCCTCGAAGGAGCCCTTACTTGGAGGTTCATGGGTAGTTATAGTTATAAGTAGGGTTATAAGTCCCCTAATATGAGTCATGAGTACAGTTACCCTACTTATAACCCCACTTGTAACTACCCATGAACCTCTAAGTAAAGGAGCCCTTCAAAGAGTCCAGCTGCCTTCCCTCGAAGTCCCAGCCTTGTTGTCGCCCCGGCCAGAGCTTCGGAGGCTCAGTCTCATCTTTTGGGCCATGTCCAGTGGGGATTTGGGGTCATCTAGGAACCTGATCAAGAAACCCTGGGCCTTTATTCGGGCTCCTTATACGAATCCTACTCTGTTTGGCCCAAGGTTTTCTTAATCAGGTTGCTACATAGGCTTCTCTGCGTCTGTGCCTGCGAACATCGAAACCGCGCAGACGTGGTTGGCTACATGTTGTCCACCATGATGAAGTTTCAGGTCGCTCTGCGCAGTAGGACGATGTGGTGTACGGCACCATTGCGAATGCAAAGTCGGTTGCGTGACTACCAAAACCACCGGAAGATCATATGAAGATCCAGTGCTCTCAATTCCTTTACATCGAGACTCCAGATTCAGAAGGCGTTGGCCCTGGTGTAGGTTCGGAAGTAGAGCTGCCTGACTTGCCTGCTTTGGCACGTCTCAGGACCTGTCCACAAATCTCAGCTGCAACAAGCACATACAGCAGCTGCAATGCCCAAAACCATGGGGACGGGTACTCCACAGGGGCAACCAGATGCATCAGAATTGCGAGGCCACAAGCGGGCCTAAAGGCAAACCCAAAAGCACACCAGAACCTGTCATGAAGCCTCAGCTGCTGCCTTACCAGCATCAACGTTCCCATTGTTGCTCCAATTCCGACGTCCACCAGAAAAATGATTCTGTCAACGCTGATGCGGGTTGGGACCCGGATTTTTGCAATGCTCATGCCGAAGACGCCGTAGAATATGCACGTTGCAACGAAGGTTGCCCGCGGGCATTGGCGCATGCTGTCTTCAAAAGTATCGATCGAGTGCAAGGTCTGTGAGCGAGTGGCAGAGCTGTCGTCGTCTGTCTCGGTTTCAGTGTCTGTCTCTGGTAGAAATGAACCTCCGGGCGCCACAGTTTGGTTGCAGTTTCTGCGCAGCATCAAAGAAAAATAGCCGGCATACCAAATCCAGAAGTAAGCCGCAATTAGTGTTACAGCCACTCCACATGTAAAGACGTACAAGACAACGGCAACCAGAAGCAATAAAGCAGTGCTGCCAGTGGTCCAAGCAAAGGTCAGAATCCATGATCGACCAGGATTTCGCACCACTGATACCGCATAGTGCACATAGAGAAAGCAACACAAGCCTAACATTTCGAAAGCTTCGGCTGCAACCCCTACGACAGATTGTGAGTCCCGGAATACTGCCCAGGAGGCACTCAGGATCAGCATAAGGTATGCAGTCTGCTCTGTGTGAAATCTCTCAATCCGCACAGCACATACAATACTTAGAAGAATCATACCCCAAACATCGAGCAGAGCACTAAAGGTGCTTTCGTGCTCCGTGTCGAGCAGACCTTGTACCAACTGGTATGGACTGTCTGACTCCAGCGTCTCCTCATACATCCAGGCGGCATACTGGTCCAAGACAGACCCTGCCAGGGTTTAAGGCTATGGGCTTCAGGGCTAAAGAGGCATCTGAGCGTTTTTAGGGCTTTAGAGCTTCGGCCTTTTTTGTCCGGGTTTTCTGGTTGTGTTGAGGCCTGTCAGCAAGAGCCATATGCCGAGACGCTCGCACAGCTGGCTTTCCGTCAGCTCACCTTTGACCAAAGCGAAATACCCGAAAGAGGTCAAGGCGTTCCCTGGCACCCAGAGCAGCAGAGACACTCGATCGTCCTGGTCTGCAATACACACACTCCACCAGCCGTCCCAAATCAACAATGCATTGCAAGTCAGGCATAGGCACAATCCTGCCACCTCAATTAGCACCATCCGGTTCGATAGTTCGTTCCAGTGCCGGCGCATAGCAAAACACATCAAGGCGACGGCAATGCAGGTCACAAGCGCAGCTGCCCCGTTGCCAACATGCAGCTGTGACATCGAGCATCCGAGCAGCGGCATAGCCTAGACTGCTTTCTGCACCTGTCAAAGTAAGATTGGGACTTGATCGGGCTCCATATGGCTTTTGAGTTGATAGGGTATTACATGTTGTTATAGGGCATTATAGGGTTTTGTCGGGCTTTCTTATGTAGGGCCCCAACATCCTGGCCGCGAGCCGGCTGAGAGGGCACAGCGACGAGAGATGCATGATTGCTGCAAAAAGCTGGAGCGAAACCCTTAAACATAAACCTTACGGCGGTCATGGAAAACCAGCAAAGCTCGTTCACCCATGACCTTCGCCTCGCGCTTCGCAACTGCTGTTCTGAAGATGTTCTTGGAATGCCTTTAAGGGTTTAGGGCTTCAAGAGTTAAAGTCTGGAGGCCTCATGCCTGCCAACACCGAACCCGTCCTTGACCAGAAAACGGAATCCGGGACCTGCACAGCGGCTGAGGGTTCTTACGGTTTACGGGAATCTCCTACCATCGGGTGCCCATGTGCTGCAGACTCACCAATGCGAGGGAGACGACAACCACTCTCAGTACGAAGTTTAGAACTCGTTCCGCTAAGTGCTGGTCGCTTTGCAAGACGGACCGTGTTTATGTTGCGCATCTTCCAGTCTCAAACCCTAAATTGGCCCTGATCCCTAAACCCTGAACGTTGCAGGTCTCTTCGACTCACCCGCTTGCTCTCTGCATGCGGTGCTTGTGTTCGTTCACACACGACATCAGACGACTACGTGTGGGTAGTTCTCTAAAATAGGGTCCATTTTCGCCACCCCCCCCCCCCCCCCCGCCCTTTTCCGATGCAGTACGGCACCCTGAAAGAAAGGACCCTCATCAATAGGGGCCCTAACTTACATGAAACCCCTGCCATCCGATTGGCTGTCGGCTGAGAAAAACTCGAAAAGACCTAGAAGCCACCGTGTGCAAGGCTTCAAGGCGATCGCAAACCCGAAACCGGAGACTCTGAGACCTGGACGGGGCATCTACGAAGTCGATGGTGCTTCTAAATAGGGATGGTTGAGGTCATCACAGACACAACCTAAAGGACCTACAGGCTTTGATACGCAAGACCCAGGCTTTTGGGGTTACGGGGCTTAGAGTTGTGGGGTTATAGAGTTTGGGGCTTTAGGAGATTAGGGCTCCGTCTCCTCCGATCTCCGTGCATGCGGCTGTCTCCGTCTGTCTCTATCCGACTCCCTCTGTTGGTCTCTGCCTCTGTCTCGGCGCCCTGGAGCCTAAACTAAGTCTTAAGCCCGAAGACCCTAGACCCAGTCTCTGTCCATCTACGTCTGTTTCTAAATCGTTGAAGAAACCTTAGAAGACTTCCAAACCCTAATCCCTGAAACTGTTTGTCCCAGAACCCTCCGACTATATACTATAATTACGATAAGGAACCCCACAATAGTATAGGTATTTATTGCGGCCCCACATTGAAGTACCCTTATGGATCCCTTATGCTTCCCCTTAGACCCCCTTAAAGGAACCCTATTCTAACTGTTAAGGCCCCTTCATTGTAGTAAAATCCCAGCGCCCCAACTGTCCATGACCTTAGCCTGGCCTTAGACTCGGAAGCCCTCAAAACCCAAAGGACTACACCCAAACAGCTGCATAAACACTATATAATGTGGGAACCTGATTCAGAAACCTTGCATCTATATAAGGGCTCCTGATATGAATCCTACCATTTTGGTGTTATAGGCCAAAGGTTTCTTGATCAGGTTCCTACATTATATACCCAACATGCTGCTAATAATAACTATAACTAAACGTTTGAAACAAAGCCCTAAACCCCAGACCCTAAAGTCCTAAAGCCTCATCCCAAACAGAACACAGGCCCCCCTACCTCCGCTTCGCAGGGATGTGCCGCCAATTTGAACAGGAGGTCGGCCCACCTCCAGCGTTTAGGGTTTAGGGTTTAGGTTTAGGGATGTAGGGCTTAGGGATTTAGGGTTCTGGGTTTCGGGTTTAATGGTTTTTTGTCAGGGTAGGTCAAGGTTCTGCAGAGGTTACTTGCAGGTTCTATAGGGTTTTCATGTTTTTCTGAGGTTTCAGAAAGCTTTGCTGTGCCTTTTCCTGTGTCTGGCAATGAAGGATTGCTTCCTTTTGGGCTTTAGGGACCCTTAACCCTACCCCTATACCCTATATGCCCTAAATCCTGTTTAGGGTTGAGGGATCAAACTTACCTATATCTCCATTGAAGCTCCTTACCATTTAGGATCCTAAATATCAATTTGGCTAAACACGAAAAAGGAACTACAGTGAACACCAGAGGAGAGGTTTAGCATCCTGAGGATCCTCGGGTCTCTCTGGAATAGGATTTAGGGTTTAGGGCTAAGGCTTTAGGGTTTTAGGGGTTAGGGGTTCTGCAGCTTACGGGCTTTGGGGTGTTGTAGGTGCGGAGTGCTCTGTCAGGGTTGGAGCATCCATAAAAAAAGAATGACCCAAAAAAAGCGGGTTCCAACAGCCCCGACACCCTAAACCTACAAGACCCAAACCCGCAAACACTTAATCCCAAACCCCGAAACTCTTAAACCCCTAAACCATCCTAAACCCTGAACCCTAAACCCTTAAACTCTTAAACCCCTAAACCCTAAACCCTAAACCCCTAAACCCCTAAACCCCTAAACCCTAAACCCCTTTAAACCCTCCGCCTTAACCTTCAGAGCCAAGCTGCATCGGGTCCACAGAGCTCGTGGCCTCCGGCTCGCCAGGAGCATCGCCGCCGCCTGCATTGTTTTTCTCCGGGGGTTTGAAGGTTTCGGGTTTTGGGAAGTAGGGAGTTAAGGTGTAGGGTTCAGGGTATAAGGGCTAGGAATTAGATTTTAGGGTTTCGGATTTTGGGAAGTAGGGTCTGGGGATTTAGGGTTTAGGGTTCAGGGTTTGGGTTTAGGAATTAGATTTTAGGATTTAGGGTTCACGGTCTGGATAACAAGCTTAGAAGCTTAAGCCCAAAGAGCCCAGAGTCGAAACAGATTCTGAGCCGCCGGGCCGCCTCAATCCTTGGCTCCGGGACTTGAATTTGCAGCTGCCAAGGGTCTTGCTCTAATGCTTCGGCGCTTAGGTGTAACGTAGAGGCCTGAATGATATCAAAATTAGTCCATTTTGAGCTGGTTTCTCGTGCCTCATTCGACTGACCCAAACCTCCGAATTTAGCGCAGGTCCAGTGAAGAGAGGGGCAGGGGTTGCAGAAGTCCTGAAAGGCATCATCTACATATGGGGGCCCTACCACCCGCTGTAGCGCACTCCCCCGATAGTTCCTGTCATTGCGGTAGTCTCTACCCACCAACCCTTCATGGCTGTGCTCTTAATACCCAATGGCCGTAAACAAAATCAAGGAACTAAACCCATGATCCCTTAAGGTTCAAGTAAACCTATTGTTTCCTTCTAGGAGCCCCTTCTATTCAACCCTTATAGAACCCTGTAGCGCACCCAAGGAATCATGTTCTAGTTATTCAGGCTCTATTCCAGTCCTGAACCCTAAACCCCAAGCCCATCCTAAGCCCTACATCCTAAATAAACCCTAAAACCTACACCCTAAACTAAACCAAAAACCCTAAACCACACATACACCATACACAAACCCTAAACACCCCACCCCAAAGACCCTCAAAGCTCAAAGCGTCTCCGAGCTCGCCTTCGCTCAACGCCGGCTGAGCGGAGGCGAGCTCAGAGGTCACCGGCTCCTCGGCGCCTTCAGCCTGCGAAGCATGCATGGGTGGTTCCCATTTTCGGTACCCTAAATAATAGGTGCCGGATTGTATTTCTGACCCAAAAAGGAACCATAATTTTGACAACTACCCATGTATAATGCAAAGGGTTTATGGTGTTTGGGGTGGCTGATAGCTAGAGCAGAGTTCGCTTCGGAGTTCCTTTACAGAGGTCTGAGGGTTCAGAAGGAAGAGTTACATGTACTAGTTGAGGGTGTGGTATAGGGGCCTGTATAACTAGAGTTTGGGTCCTTTTTGCACTTTGGGGTTCTTAACAAACGGAATAGGGTTGTGGTATTGGCATAGAAACATGTACACGGCAACCCCAAGGATTTCAAGTTGGGGGTTTAGTGTTTAGGGAAGGGAAAAACTTTTGTATCTGCGATAGCAGGGTTAGAGTCATGACAAAGGTTTAGGGTCTGGGGTTCAGCATTTTGGACTCCAGTGGTGGGGGGTCGTGGGTTCAGGGTCTCATAGTTTTGTATTTAAGGTTTAGAGTTTGTGAGGGTCGGGGCTTCGAAGTTTCAGGGTTTAGCATTTCGCGGTTCGAGCTTTGCAGGGCTTTGGAAACCAAAGAACCCCTTAACCCTAAACGCGGGGCCTTTTCAAAAGAACCGAACCCAAATCCGTAGCCACTAAACCCTCAAACCCTTGAAAAGAACCTTGAAAAACAACCCGAAACCTCAACCCAAGACCCCAAACCCTACACCCATAAACCCTGAAAAAAAAATGTAAAACAGAACTCCTGAACCCTAGACCAACCCCTCAACCCTAAACCCTAAGCCCTAAAGCCTTAAGGAGGACCCTTGAACCCTTGAGTTGAATCCTTAAGCAAAATCCGAATCCGTAAAGGCATGGCCTCTTTGGCATAGAAAGCTTCTGTGGAGGGCTCGGGCGCTGGCTCCGGGAGGGGCGGCTCCTCGTCGTAAATTGAAGCGACTTACTTCGGGGTTTAGGATTTTACGGTTTTATGGCTTTCGGTCGGGGCTTTAAGTTTTAGGGTTTAGGGTGCAGAGTTTGGGGGATTGAAGTTGAAGGTCAACGTCTCCAGGGTGTAGGGATTCGTACTGTTACTTGCTTTAGGGGTCGCTATGCGAAGGGTCTGCGATTTCGGACTTTGTGGTTCAGTACCCCCTAAAAACAACTCAGGATACACCTTCTTGCCCGGCTCTGGCGGGGTGCACTATAAGGTATAACATTTAGGTTTTGGGATTTAGGTTTCAGGGTGTAGGGTTCTTAAACTAATTGCCTGTCACGGGGTTTGGAGTGAGCTTATGTTGTGTGCATGGTGTAAGCCGCGAACAATTTCGTGGCATCAATAGTTAGCGCACGTATGGTGATACTCGGGTTTAGGATGTAAGGTTTCCGATCCTATATCACTGATGTCATTCGATTAGACCCGGTTGACAGCAGCTAGTCTTACGGCGACAGGTCCGCAAGGCCCAAACAACCCCAACATCAAGCATGCTACAAGTAGCTGCTACGGTGATCAACACTGCAGTGAATCATCACGATTTAGGGGCCAAGATAACTAGAATAGGCTTGCGCTAGACTATGCAGCGTATATAACATGTGTGTGTATGTATGTATGTATATATATATATATACAGATACGCTAAGGAATAATGACAGTAAATCTACAGGCCCCCTGTAGTATGTTGTTCTGATAGGGGCAGCATTCATGTGCCCTATCTAATTATATGAACTTTAGGATTTAAGCTTTGGGGTTGAAACCTGAGGGTGGATTTAGGGCTGTGTTTTGCGAGGCATTTCATTCCTCGAAGCGTCGCTGCTGAGCGGGCGTGAGGCCTTTGCTGCCGCGTTCTTTGACCCACTGCATGACAGTGAACTCCATGGGGCGATTCACCCATCTTGGGAGTGGGATGCACCTGTCATCCAGGTGTGGCGTTTGCCGTGCAGGGCTTCGGCTGCGATTTGTGTGTCCAGCTCAGGCAAGCCCCAGCTCCGGCAAGGTGTCCAGGTTGATGAGTGTGGCCATGCTGCCTTTGACACGCTGCAGGGAGTCCAACACCGCATCCTCCTTGCCCTGAAACTTCATGTCGGCAGGGTCTTTGTTGGACACGTAGCCCAACTTGTGCCAACTCGACATGATAATGTTCCCCTTCCGATGTTGGCCTAAAGCTTGGAGCGCATACACATCGGAGGCTAAGGACATCAATTAGCTCGACTTGAGGACTGGTTCTCCCTGCAGGTCAAAGTCCAGATCCGCGTACTGGCGGGCAAAAAGCTGGATTGTCAACACCGCCGGTGGCCTTGCGGAGCCAAGCTCGCCGCAACAGACGCCAGAGCTGACGCGATTGGTCATTCCGGCCTCCAGCGGCAGCGAAACCTCCGGGGATATTCGGAACGTTCTGTCCGCCCCCGAGAGCTGGCAATTTTGCTCCTCGTCCAAAGCTGCCGCAGCTCCGTGAAGTTCGAGTCCGAATGAACGGTGGCGTCATCACAATTAACCAAGACCCGGTGCTGGCTGGCGAGTCCCAGCTTTTGGCGCCTGAGGTGCAGCTCCTGCTTGAGGAAATCGAGATAGTGCACCATTGTTTGCCCTTTCCACATGTAGGTGGACCCTGTATCCCTACGCCCACGTCTAAGTCACAAGGCGCCCCAGCCGACATGCATTATTGGAAATGCATACCGGATGTTTCACATCGATCTCATGGTAGCTCCACGAAGCAAGTCATGTCGTGTTGATGCTAGATCAAAACGCCTGTGGGCAAAAGCTGTGGTGAAAGCTTCGCGATATCCTGTAAAAGCTGCACAAATTCCTTCGTCCCTGTCAGGGCCGATGGCGCACAGCGCAGGAACTTGTCAAAGACCCATCTGCTGAAGCCAGAGCTCGCAAGCGAAGCGGAGGAAAAAATACGTCCAGAAGCAAGAACTCTGAAACCAAGGATCTGTCGAGCTCCCACCACTAGGGCGATCAGTCGAGAAAACGCTGTCCAGGCCTGCCCGTCCCTTGCACAGAATCTGTCGCGTTGCGCAGGAAATGCCACTGTACGTAAACATCAATGGCGACGCTTGCAAAGCGCAACCTGCAGTGTGCCCGGATCGAAGACCGAAGACCAGGAGTCCGCAGCCGTGCACTGGCTTTCCATAGCGAGCATCGCCGAGAGAGAACTCCTACAAAACTAGTTCTGTCAAACGAGTGAAACGGCTGCAGAATGCCGCAGATAGGCTGAGCAGAGGCTGGCGGTGCAAGTCTGCCGTTGTCCGGTCCCACCTGCACTGCACGGTCTGCCGGCGTTTTCTTTCTGAGCTCTTTGCCTTACAGAACAGGCAACTAATCCCATGACAGAACGAGATGGCCGGCACCCATTGCTGCCGAAGCAGCACAGCGATCGGTACTGAGCCAGCTCCAGCCCAGGCTCCGCGGGCATGCTTCAAGACTCAGCGGCCGACAGTCAGTCCGGACATCACGAACATGACAAGAGACCAACAGAATGCCAAGCCGCAGTGACTCGGCCACATGCTTCTGGTCCAGCGGCGCTATGGCGACGTAGCATGAGGTGACAAAGCGAACGTAGCAAACCTTGACAGCCCGATCGTTAAAACGTGGACTAGGCACTCCAACCTTGCCGCGATGTCAGTTGAATCCTGAGCAGATCTGAGCAGCGCCCCACGTTGCAACTTGCCTACTTACAAGATGAAACATCTGCGGGCAATCGATGAACATCGACGGCAATCAAAGCAACTTCAAGAGAAAATGGTGCTGGAATGGGACGCGATGGGCTACAACTGAAATGATCCACGTGGCTGCAAGTCTGTCATAGGTTAGAAGCTTGACATCTTGACTCCCTCCGGTATGCATGTATGCCCTGGGGATCACCGAGACGTGCGAAACTGCATTAGTTGGGGGTATGGATGTCTCTGTTGTGCGCCGGATGACAGCAAAGCCGTGCAAAGATTTCGCCTCCTCCATCGGGGACTTTGTCGTTGGCGATGGTGACGAACAGCCTCCCAACATCGCCGTCCTCCACGAAAGGGTCGTGGTGGTGCGGGGAATGCGCCAGTTGGACACGGAGATTGCGCAGCTGTACACCCCGATGATCCTGCATCCTGCTCCAATTCCAGGGCAACGCGCAGCTTGTGGGCCCGGGCACGCCGCCTGTAACAACGCCCATTCTCCACCTCCAGGTGCTTCGTGTGGCCACGATGGCGTGGGTTCTTCCACACGACATGCTGTGCGGGTTCGTACAGCGTGGTCCAGACCTGATCGAAGTTCCCGACCATGGCAGGATGCACCGTCCCGCTCCGCACTTGCTCGAGGACATACTCCTTGACTGCCCTGATTTGTGGGTCGTTGATGATTCAGCGTCAGGGCCTGGCCATCAGGATTTAGGCTGTGGGATTTTTTAAAACTTAGGGTATAGGACGTAGAGCTCAGGATTTCAGGACTCAGGCCATCTGTGTTTGCTCCTGACTACTTGGCGAGTCAAAGCCAAACCCTAGAATGAGAAGAATTCGGGCGGCTCCGTGAGGGAATCGATCTTCAGCGGCGCCGTGGTACTCTGCACTTCCTGGCTGTAAATCATGAAAGGGTTCTGGAGTGCAGGGTTCGGGTGATCCGTGCTGTTGCACCGGTTGATATTCGGGCTCTGTTGACGTGACGTCTCCTTTGTTTTGGGTGTGCTGATTCGTAAACGCTGGTGGCAACTGTCGCCGTTGCTGTTGCTAGGGTCTGCGGAGTCATTCTCTGCGGTCGAAGCGGCCATGACGCTTCTTTATGCAGTGCTGATCCTACTACCATCAACAAGAATGATGACAACGTAGATCAGGATGACGATGATGAAAACGATGAAGATGACCATGAAGATGCTGATGACAGTCCTGATAATGATGCTGGTGCTGGTGCAGATGATGATGATGGTGATGATGATGATGATCATGATGATGATCATGATGATGACGGTGATGATGATGATGATGATGATGATGATGTTGGCGCTGGTGCTCGTGATGGATGATGCTGATGATGATCATGACGACGATGATGATGATGCTGGTGATGATGGTGATGAAAAGGTCTCGATGTTGCTGATAATGTTGACGGCGATGGTGGCGACCGCACTGGTAATCTTGATAGTGGGCCCGACTGCTTAGCATTGGGATGTAAAAGGCTTGAGAACAGGTTTATCGGGCTTCATAATGTCCTATAGGCTTTCGATGTGGGGGCTGTGATGATTTGAACAGGCTTGCACGGTATACCACGAGTACGTACATAGGGACTATAAGGGATGGAGTTGATACTGCTGGAGCCCCTCAACCATGCGCCCTACAAAAACCTCGGAACCCTACAGCGTAAATTCATAAATCCTACATGCAACACCCTCAAACTCAACCGAAAACCCGGAATAGAGCCTAATATCAAGGCCTCGTCCCTAATTATCATAAAATGACTACTATAATGCGCCCCAGTCCCTTTCTTAATTGTGAAGGCTCCTATATTGAGCATCATATAGAATCCCAGACCGCCCCTTTTAGAACCCTGTTCTACATATTACGGCACCGACATTAAGGGCTGAAGGTTTCGGGTCTGCGCCTTCTTCCGCCAGACGAGCTCGCGGCGAGGCTTTGAGTGCGCCCTTGCCGGAGGCCTCGCTGGGAGCGCGGGCTCCACCTGGTGGTGTTTAGTTTGTATAGACCCAAAGAGCCCAATACCCCTTATATACTCAAGGAATATATAGCTTAAACCATAATTTGAAGCTCCCTATAATTCAAGCCATGTTCCTCAATTAAGGGGGTGTTGGGCTCTCTGGGGACGGTGTTATGCGGGTTTATGGTTCTAAAGAGTTTTGCCGCGTTTTAGCCGGCAGTGGGTATAGGGTCTGGGTGTCGGGTTCAGGGTGTTGGATGCAGGGTTCTGGGTGTAGGGCCTAGAGTAGGGTTTCAGGTGTTAGACACCCGCCCGTCTTGGGTCTTGGGCATGCAGAAGCTTCAGCTTGAAGTGGCGAGTAATCCCCAAGGCCTGCACCCTCAACACAAAGCTCCGCCTGGCAAAACCCTTACCTCAAACTCTACACTCTGCGGCCTTGAAAACTGATTCCCGCACCAACACAAGAGAACAGTATCCCAAAGCGTCCTCCGGGTGGCTGCGGCAGGGACGTGGCCGGAAAAAGTTTCGCAGAACGGCAGACGTCTCCATTGCTGCAGCGCAAGGTTTTAAGGCTGAACCTGCGTAGGCAAGCACAGCACAAGCAATTGCAGTTGGGAATCAGAATGAAGTAGTGGCGCAGGGAGCGCCCGCAGCATTAACAAGAATGATCTACACCCCTATGCCTATACCCTCCACCCTAGAACCCCAAACCCCAAAGCCGCGATTGCCCTAAACCCGTACACCCGAAACCCCGTATAACCGTACAGCCCTATAAAACCACAAAGCCCTATAAAGTCATAAACCCTATGAGCCCTCAAAACCCTTTAAAACCATAAAAGCGCTATGAAAAATCTCAAACACTGACCTTCAAAAACCAACGGAACAGCAGAGCTCTAGCTCCCGCGGGAAAACCCGGATTGATCCGAAGGCTGGGCAGCGAAACAAGCACATCGTGTGGGGTTTCCGGCTTACAGGGTTTAGGGTTTAGGGTTTAGGGGTTTAGGGTTTAGGGGTTTAGGGTTTAGGGTTTAGGGTTTAGGGTTTAGGGCTTATAGGGTTTAAGGCTTCGGGTTTAGCGTTTGGGGTTTAGGGTTTATAGGGTAAGTTTAGGTTGTATAGGGTCTAGGGTTTATAGGGCTTATAGGGTCTGTAAGTTCTTTTTTGGCTTTATATGGTTGAGAGAGTTGAGGGTTTATAGGGCTTATAGGGTCTATAAGTGTTTTTGGCTTTATATGGTTGAGAGAGTTGAGGGTTTATAGGGCTTAGGGCTTTCGGGGTTTATTTGGGTGTTTGAGGTTTAGGGTTTAGGGCCTCAGGATTTGGGCGCTTCGGGTCGGGAGGGTGAGGGAACTTAGCAAGTAAGGTTACAAGGACCCTACTTGGAAGTTCATGGGTAGTTAAAAGTAGGGTTATAAGCCCCCTAATATAAGTTATACGTATAGTTACCCTACTTATTATCCGACTTATAACTTCACAAGTAAGTTTATAGCGACCCTAATCTGTCTGATGCTTTGTAAGGAATGGGGGAACGGATGCCTATAGCCCCTTTGTAATCCCCAATGATAGTCTCCATTCCCCCATTCCCTACTAAGCACCAGACAGTAATTGGGGTTATGAGAAATCTTAACTCTGGCTGCTTTTTACCCTCTTACTAAGTCCCCTGATCCTGTCAGTGGAATTTCAACCTCAGAGTGAGGGAGGCAAGGCTTTGGTGAGTCGTAGGGTTCAGGATTTGGGGCTTCTTGGGTCTCAGATCGTAGTATTCAGAGCTCTACGGTCTTAGGCTTAAGGGCTTACAGGTAGTGACGAGAAAGGCTGGAAACATCGGGTGCGGTGTTCCAACCATCAGCCATCAACGCTGCAAGGTGCACCGGTTCTTCCCTGAAGGCCTGCACCCCGAAACCTCAATCCCAAAGCCAACACCAAACCCCAAGCCCTAAACCCCAAACCCCTTAAACAAAAAAAATACACCCCGGAACCCTCGACCGAACCCCATGCAAGGCCTCCTGATGTCTGTGCAGCTGCTGATGCCTGTGGCAGCAACAATCGAACTTCAAAAGAGTTCTGTGGTTTAGGGTTTCAGGTCTGTGTTTTTCTTAGAGCTCCGTTTTCCGTTGCCCATACCGTCTGAATGGGGTTTAGGCTAAAGGGGTTAGACGGTTTGATCGGATCAAGATTAGACTGAAGGTCTGAAACGGGGGGTTTTAACACCCTCTGCAGGCTTTCATCAAGTCCTGATAAGCTTAATAAGGGGAAGTAGAATAAAACCCAAAGGCCTGCCAAGTAGCACAAAACTTCTTCTATGGCTTGCTGTGGCTCCCTCAAGATGGCTTTGTTAGAGGAGGGCTGAGTGCTGGAGGGATTTGAAGCCTCAATGGTCACCGCGAGCCTTACATAGGGGGGTTGGTAGGGTGCTATACTTCCTTACAAGTACACAGGTCAGATTCGACCCCTATCCCCTACCCCCTCCTCCCTTGCCCACTTACCCCTTAAAGATCCTTATGACATGAAGAAGCCGCGATTCTCGTCATCAGGACCAGGGTCTGGGTTCCACTTTCTAAGGTTCGGAGTGTTCAGTTCGGGAGTTTAGGAAGCTGGAGATCTGTTGGTGCGAAAAGCTGCAAGAAACGAACGGGAACTTAAAGTATGCTGGTTGGGGTTCGGGGTTTAGGGTCCATGGTCTCCCTAATTAAACTCGAAACCGGCTTCGGGAGCTTTGGTACAGGCTCGGGGGTTAAAGGTTCGAGGTGTTTATGGGACTGAAGTTAGCGGTGTGTAAGAGAAGTCCTTTGCAAGGCTTGCGTCGCCTCCCCACTCCCACCCCACTTTTTTCTCGGATTTCCAGCACCCATCTTTCGTGGAAAGCAGGCATGATTTCTGCCCACGTGCACTGGGGCTCTCTTGCGGCAGACAAACCCTGAACCCTGACCTCAAGCTTATCTCTAAAGTTGGGTTTACCTACTTGGAGGTTCCTGGGTAGATACAAGTAGGGTTAGAAGTCCCGGTATATGACTTATAAGTATAGCTACCCTACTTATAACCCCACTTATAACTACCCATGAACCTCCAAGATAGGCCCTAAATCTTATACCTTTATAGAATCCCTAGAGATCCCCTGAAATGAACCCTTATAACTACCCATGAACCTCCAAGTAGATTCAGGGCTTCGAGCGAATTGGGGGCGGGGCGTCGGCCTGAAATCCACGGGCGATGTATTTCAAGCAAACTTCGCCCTGAAATTCTCGAGCCCTCAGACCTCGAACTACCCGGGCTTTCGGGACTGATTCGGTTTTAAATGGTTTTAGGGTTTAGGGGTTTGGGGTTTTTGATGCAGATCTGCACTCCCGAAGGCCCGAAACTCTCGAAAACACTACTGTCAGTACGGCGCAGCAGATCTCGGACTCAACTCGCGCCCCTCTGCTCCAACGCCTTCGTTCGTAGTGAGCCTTTCGGAGGTCGAGAGAGGTGGGACGCGGGAACTTCGGGGGAGCTCAAGGCTCCATGGAGCTCGGAGGTTCGATAAGGGCTTTAGGGTTTAGGCTGTAGGGTTTGGGCCTTAAGGTTTAGGCTTTAAGGTCTAGGTTTTACGGCTTAGTTCAGGGTTCGGAGCTAGGTTGAAGATCCCGGGTTTAGAAGGAGGCCGGGGGTGCTTTCGATTGAGGTTTTAAGGTTCAGGGCCGTAGTGTAGGCTTTAGAGTGCCTGCGTGCTTTAAGGCATCTCTTGAGAAGAAATCTTGCTCTGTTCAGCACACTAGTCACGAGAAGGAACCCCGATTTTCAGCTGCCAAGAACGAGAATTAGAGCTGTGGCTTGGGCATCCCAACACTCCAACGACAGAATCAAGAGAGGGATATGCAGACGTACCTTCGATTCGGATGAAGTTCAAGGCGCAGGAATAGTGAATTCCGAAGATAAGTAATTAGCAGTACTATTCTCTGAGTGTTCCCTGCGCCCCCAAAGCTGAACCCTCAACTCTAAACCCTAAGACCCTAAACGCCTAAACCCGAAACCCCTAAACCCTAAGCCCCTAAACCCCTACACCCTAAATCCCTAAACCCAAAACTCTAAACCCCTCTAAACTGCAAGCCCCAAGCTCCCTGGCTCCAGTCGGCAATGGGGGAATGGGTTAGATATAGAGGCTCTACTTACAGGGACCTTAAAGAGCTGTCATAGGGATCCATGCCCCCATTCCCTGCTAAGAACCATGGAGCAACAACCCTAAACCCCTAAACGCTAAACCCCTGAAGTCTAGGGACTAGGGGCCCTTAATGGGGGTACATTCCCCCATCTACTAAGAACCCGGGAGCAACAACCCTAAACTCCTCTCAGGTTCGCCTTGCTGGCCTTGCACGCCTGCACCCGCGAAGGACGGATTTATCACCTTCCGAGATTCTGTGGATGATATAAATCCTGCATTGCCCATATAAGGAATATACCATGATGCCCATGGTCTAGGGTAATTCAAGTAGTGCAGGATATACATCACCTTCCGACATTGCGCTTGGGTTTAGTCTTTCGGGCATAAGGAGCCTTGGGGTATCACGGTTTGTAACCCCAATGTCATATTGTCATGGTTAAACCACGGGAACCGGCACCATGTGGATGCCGAAGCCGCCAAATATGCAGTCTGCACCACACTCGCAAAGGAACTATCTCGGAATCATATGACTACTTGGTAGAAACCCCTTGCCCGGAGCCCCAAGCATAAGTAACACCTAGACCTCGACCACCTGACTCCCGAATGCTACAGGTACGAGACACCTCGGAAAAAGCCCCCAACCCAACTGTTCAACCCTATACTCCGTAACCTCCCTCTACACCCGAAACCCGAAACTCGAAACTCGAAACCCGGAAGCCGAAACCCAAAGCCCTAAACCCTAAACTCAAAGCCCTAAGCCCTAAAGCCCTAAACTCAGCCCAAAGCCCTAAAGCCCTTCCTTCTGCGAGGTGCCAAAAGCCCCCACTTGGAGCCTCGGATCCTGCAGCTTTGAAGGAGCTCCGGGCTGTGGACGGGGCGGTGCTCCTGGCAACTCTGGGGTTTAGGGGGTGTAGGGTGTAGGGGTTTTGGGGTTTAGGGGGTGTAGGATGTAGGGGTTTAGGGGTTTAGGGGGTGTAGGGTGTAGGGGTTTTAAGGGGTGTAGGGTTTAGGGGTGAAGGGTTTAGGGTTTAGGGGTTTAGGTTGTAGGGTTTACGGGTGAAGGGTTTTAGGGTAGGGTTTTACGGGTTGCGGGTCTAGGGTGCACGGTTCCTGGTTTGGGGGGTGTAGTGTAGGGGGTTAGAATAGGGTTTTGGGCTCCTTTTTACTAGAATTATCACAAGGACCCCGAAGGGGATAATATTGGTAATTGTTCGTCTTCTATAGTAAGGTTTTGTGTAGGTTTTGGGTTTAGGGTTTTGGGTTTGGAGCTTGCTGTGACGTTGCGGTGCCGCAGAGAAAATCATGCAACATACGTGCTTTAGAGTTGTCCAGCATCCTGGGGTAACTATGGGTTAACCTTTGGGATGTTTTCGGGCTTACAGGCTTACAATACCCCATAGACCATAGAGGTGGAAGCTTACCTATTCTACTACTAAGGATGGGTCGAGTGCTCTGCGCTGTGGGAGCTGCAGCAATGGGCCCGACCCAACGTGTCGACAAACTAATACCCTCCAAAATTCAACCTGACACCGTGGAGCTCATACCCCTATGGAACACACAGCATCTGCTTGATTACGCAGAAAGATCTGGTTCACGTTCTCCTAAAAATACTCAACAAGCAAGACTTTAAATCCCTAAACCCTAAACCCTAAACCTTAAACCCTAAACCCTAAACCCTAAACCCCAACTTTAAACTTTAAGGAAAGCTGTTTCTGAGCTTCTCGAGGCTCCTACAGTAAATGCTGGGGGCCTGAAGCCTGAACCCTGAACCCCCTGCCACCTGAAACCCTAAGACTAGTTCGCCCACCCACTCCCCTAAACCCTAGATCTTGGGGTTTAGGGTTTAGGGTTTAGGGTTTAGGCTTTAGGGGCCCTAGATCTTGTAAACCATGAACCCTAAACCCTAAAGCAGTCGAAGGGCCACAAACAAACAAGAAACGATCCTCGCAGCTGAAGAAGCCGGTCGCGGGGTGAGAATCGGTCTGAGAGCCTTCGGCGCCTCCTCGCGCCAGTGCTCCCTTTGAGGACTATGGGATCCCCAGTAATCTAGAAACCAGAAGGGCTCCCTTTTTTGGTGGTGGATAGTTTTTTATAAGGAACCGCAGACCACAGAAAGAGAAAGATGGGTTCCTGTCAGACCTAGAGGAGTTCCAGTTGACCCAGAAACTCCAAAAGCCCTTAATTCAGGAATATACCTTAACTCATAATGGGAACCCTGAAAGAAAGTAAGGGGGCGAGAGTGTGATTGCAGCAGTGTGAGGTTTAGGGAATGTCTAGGATACTTCGTATACCGTATACTTTGGTATGGTAAGTGCAGATGGTGCTTCTGGATGCTGCCCGTTGTCTCTTTGGCTACTCTGGCTTGCATGGGGCTGATCCCACAAATTGTGGCTGTCTTCATCGCTAGTGCGGATTCAGAACTTCAGACATTGGCGGCGGGACCTGCACAATAAGGAGAAGCTGCTGTGGTACATGCTGCTCGAGTCTTCGGTATAAACTACTGCAGGGTAAGTCTCTTACCAAAACCTCATGCTCCTGTCAAGTCCTCATGTTGCAGGCTTCAGGAAACCGACCTATCAGACCGCTGCTTCGATGCTTCAGAGCTCAGACGTTAGAACCATCACGCAAACTTCCAAAATTCGAAGCGCGAAATCCTGCAGACGATAGAGGAAAGGTCCTGCTTTTGAGGATCGGCCCACTCGAAGAGCGAGAATGGCACCTGGTCCTGCACAAATTGCAGCAAGCTCCGAAGCAGAAGGATGAGTCAAAGAATGGACAGCACAGGTTCCCTAAACTCTTCTCTAAAGCCTAAACCCTAAAGCTTAAACCTTTTGAGGTCGAGGGTTAGGCCTTCCGTCTGGATGCGGACGTCTAGATGTCGGACGACAGTCTCATGGCTTAGAGGTACCATCGAATCTCACGAGGGCTTTGGACTTAGGGTCTCACCGTGCCAATCTCGGCCACTCTCTCGATTCTCGATCATGGAGGAAGGGACCCCACACATCGCTTTGAGGCACCCCTGCAAAAGGAGTTTACGGACCAACCAACCCTGTCCGAGAACTAATCCTGTGAATCTTAAACCCTCCTGTGGTCTGCCCTAAATTTAAAACCAGCTTGATCCCCTTGTCCGCTAACCCGAAACCCTCTGCTCCCCAAACCCGGAAGTGGGCCTTCTGCTGACGCAAAGCAGATCCCTTGAAAAATCCAGCGGCTGCCGTATCCATTTGCGGGACGAAGACGAACCTGGCAGCTTGCGACTCTGGCGCTCTGCGGTTTAGTTTAGGTACGGCCCCCATACAGTAAGAGTCTATAATAGGGCTACTATGAAGGTCCTACACTATCTGTATTATGAATATTATTCAACTATTACTGAGTGTGGGCCGTACCCAAGGTTTAGTTTTCTACACCCAGACTCCAAAATCCGTTAATTAAGGAGTATAACTTCAAGCATAATAGGAACCCTAATAGGAATTAATGTATATTCCTTAAGTAGGGGGTTTTGGAGTCTCTGGGTACTCACTGGCACCCCCAGATACCCGAGGGTGAGACCACTAGCTGCGAAGTTGGGTGATGTCAGCCCGACCCCTAACAAGCTCAAACCTGTGCCACGATTGCCCGAAACAACACCCGAATGCATCCCAAGGTACCTTACTTTGGGGTCCTAATAATAAGGATCCTACTATTTAGGCGTACTATAATTGGGTCCCCTATTTTCGGAAACTCTAAACCCTAAACCCTTTATAGCGCCCTTATAGATCCCTTTGAGGAACCCGTAAAGGATCCCTTTATTAGGGCCCCCCTATTTCTGAAACTCCCACATCAGGCCACGCCGCTGCTCTTTTTGCACCGTCGTGCCTGCACGGAGGACTGTCGGTGCTTCGGTTTCTAGCGGTTTAGGGTTTAGGGTTTCTAGCATGTCCAAGCCAAACATCGAGAAAGCTGCTACATAAACTGCTGGACTAGGGTTCTGAGGATTTCAAGGCACGATACGCTCTATCTGCACAGGCATGATAAGGGACCAACTGTTACCAGGTATTCAGGCTTGTCAGCCTGTTGAGAACGGTGTGCTGTGGAGGAAACTGCATGTCCAAAGCTAGCGCCCATGTGCAAGCTTTCTCACAGGAGATCTTGCAACAAGGAAGTAAGCTTACATACCTGCTTGAAGATATTCATCATCGGACTGCATGCATACCTGACTACCTCCTTGTCTGCCGGCCTGCCTGCCTGGCGACCTATCCTGTTCATCTGCCCAGCTGCTTACCTGTGTACCTTCCTACCGGCCTGCCTACCGATTTGCCCGCCCTGCCGACCTGCCTACCTGCCTACATTCATGCACGCGTACCTGCATGCATGCACAGTCAACTAAGCACATAATCAAGTATGCCAACGTAACATGGCAACACGCTCATGATGCAGACATGACTGAACACTCACATAAATGGCTGGTATATCGCTTATGGCAACCTCTACATTTGTCCACTGTTCGGATGGCTCACAGTGCTTGAAGGATGGTGTTGCCGAGCACGCGGCTGCTCGGGGCTGCGGTTTGACCTCTTAAACCTACTTCTGCTACTACTACTACTACTACTACTACTACTACTACTACTACTACTACTACTACTACTACTACTACTACTACTACTACTACTACTACTACTACTACTACTACTACTACTACTACTACTACTACACTACTACTACTACTACTACTACTACTACTACTACTACTACTACTACTACTACTACTACTACTACTACTACTACTACTACTACTACTACTACTACTACTACTACTACTACTACTACTACTACTACTACTACTACTACTACGACTACGACTACGACTACGACTACGACTACGACTACTACGACGACGACGAATAAAAAGAAAGAAATAGCAATAACAAAAAACAGCAGCAAGAATGCAAATGGTCATACGAATAGCAACAACAACACTAATAGCATGACAATAACAGTAGCAGCAAAGATACAAATACCTTCTAATCACCCTGACCGTCCAAACTATACTAATAAGAACTAAGGCAAGTACAAGAATAACAATGATAACAGTAATCATGATATCAACAACCTTGATCTCAATAGTCATAACAATAACAATAACAATACCGACAACAGTAACAGTAACAATAACAATAAAGGCAACAATAACCATAGCGAGAATGATAATGATAACAATAACAATAACGGTAGTGGTCAGAATAACACGAACACTAACAATAGCAGTAGTCTTAATATGCCTGGTTATACCAGCAGTACTACTACATGTACTAGTACTAATACTAACTCTAGTGCCAAAAACGAATACTCAAACGAATACTCACTAATACTAGTACTAATGCGAATGCTGATTATCAAACTAATACGACCTCTAACACAAACACCAATACTACTAACAATACTAGTAGTACTAATAGTAACAATACTAATAGAAATAATACGAGTAGGTTTAGTAATCACAACAACAGCACAAGACCAACGGCTGTAAGAGGATCGTGTGATTGGTAAGCGGTTCTCAAGGCTTCGGGGGCGAGGAGTCAAGCGCACGAGAAAACAACCCGCATTCACCCGCCTGTGGGGAAGCGGCCATCTGCGCTGGTCTGGTCCAGACACTCGCCAGGCAATGCCCCCCTGATCCCAGGCTTGGTGGGACTCTGCGAGCATTCGGTCGAAGGACTGAAGCATCTTGGAATAGCTGAGGCAGAATGGAAAATGGGGGGGCCATACTTCTGGTAGGAGACTGTTAGATGATGCCGAAAACTATGCACCAGGCTGGTCATCAGGCTTGCCTTGCACATCGGGCTCCTCTGACAAGTGGTATCGCAAGTGCTACCAAAATCCTGGTACAACAACACCTCATCCTCCATGCCCACGCGGAGATACCTGCTGCTCTCCTTGGCCCAGGGCGGGCGGCAGCGGCGCTTTCCCATGGCTGGCGGCAAGATCCCGACTACTGTTATCAAAGGAGCTTCTCGGCTACCTGGCAGTGCGGATGTCAGATTAATAGTTGTTGGGTGAAGTTGGGTTTTCCATACATGCTGAACCGGATGTGTTCACAGCGGCTCTATACGTGCGTATAGATCTCTCACTTGTCTTCGTGGCCGGGTCGCATTTAGGAATCCACAAGTGCAGAACTACTCAACTAACTGAACTACATGATTGTGTCTCGGAAGCTGGAACCTCTGATTCTCAACCTAGTGGGCGGAACAGCTTACGGCCCATCTCAAACTTCCTGCATATCTGCATGGACTCCTGGTACACTGCGACGAAGACATCAGAGCCCGCTCAAGGCCGCAGATTAGCAGAAGGTAGGACGAGCTCCCCTGCGAGCTTGAAAGTCACTCCTTCCAAGTCTCAGGCTTGCCTGGCCTTTCAATCCTTGGTGGATTCCGACCAATGGCATAAGTTTTTCCGCGCATGGATAGCTCCAAGCGAGTGACAGAAAAGAGAAACAAGTGGACGTAAGAGAAACAAGGGACGGAGCGTTTCTGCCCTCTCTTATCACGCAAGTAAGAGAAACAAGGGCGCAGTGTTATGTTGTGAGCGTTTCTGCAGCTCCTCTCTACAGACCACGCAAGTTCGACGCTCTTGCATATTGCACGAAATTCCTGCATTAGCCGGCTTGCATAAAAAACTATAAGCTGCAGCAGTTGCAAATTAATCTCAGAAGTGCTCCATAGGACTCAGCATGTGTTTTGTCCGGTCGTAGGCCATTTGCCGACTGAACACGCCTCAAGTGAAGACTCCAAATCTGCAGCGTTGAGCTGCATGGGACCCTTGCTCATGACAATGCAGCCAAGCGTCGCGGATGTCGTTGAAGAGGATTGTGACATGTAGCCAGTGTTTTCTCGGCCGCACTGCCTGCCAACCATAACCGTTTGACCCATCCTGGGCTGGAAAATGACATCCGCATCCACAATCCACAAGCACCGCAGACGACGAAAGCCCAACCAGGGTGCGGCGGTTCCCGGAGTCTGCCACTGGCTGCAGGCTTCCCCGTCCGTGAAGCACTCGTGTATTGTCAAGAACCTTAGAAAAAACGCTTTAAGGTTCAGGGCCGTGATGCTGCAGACTTCATCCCAAACTGAAGACTGCATTAGCGCCTCCCTCTCGGAACATGGCACCCTAAGGACTGCAAAGCCGTGACTCTCAAATCAGCTCAAGCCACGAGCACGTCTCCTGGCGCCAATGAAACGAAGCCTCAGAACAGGAAGAAGCAGCATGTGGTAGGGCAAAAGGTATACCCGGAATCATCTCAAGACCCCACATCATCTGACTGATGACAACTACTCCGGAGTACTGCCCAAAGTGTTGCTACCATGAGCTGCCCTGTGGGCAGCATGTTGCAGCAAAGAAGCGGGTCTTTTTCTGGAGGACTCTGTGCAGGTCCTCCCAAGCCTGCAGAGTTCACTCTTGCAACGGTTCATCATGTGTGCTGCATAGTGTTCATACACTATGCTGCTAGGCGTTTCGATCTCTGTGTACCCGGCCTCGGCGGCGTCTGGTCTAATACCCCGCGTAGACTTCACGTCTGCTTGGATTCTTGGCCTGTCCTTCGGCCCAAAAAGGACGGGCCTGGGTGTAACCGCAGATACTGAGGTGATGCTCCTTGGCTCAAGCTTGCAACACTACAAAGGGACACTCCGGCCCAGTCGACTGCATCGACAGAAAAAATATTGCAACCAATGGTCGGCGGATGGTGAAGGAACAAAGGCTGTCGGAGGAGATCGACCCGGACGCCCGCCGCTAGAAGCTCTTCTTCCGGCGGCACCAGTGCCACCGATGTTGGAGTCTGGTTAACCTGGCATTGTTTAGGCCAGTCTGATCTGCTTTACCGCACAACTCTGTCTCCCCCGAATCCCACACATCCGCTTGCAGCTCATCCAAGCTGCATTAATGATTCCCAGAAGCAGCTGGATCGGCGGTCGGCACATGTGGTCTGCATCATCCACGTGCAGTCTCATGGGTGCCTCCTGTTCCTGCCAGCCGCAAGTGCAGCCAGATTAGACAGCGGCTGGTTGGGCTTCATGGGCCCTCACTGGCCCATACTCCAGCGTTGCAAGACTAAGTCCAAACACTCCGATCCCAAGTCAAGTTCAAGCATGATGGACAGCCTAGCAACCAAAGCACCGCATAGCCCCACAAGTCAACAGTAGGGTAGGGTGGGGTGGGGTGACCACATGCGTCGTTGGGGTGAGGGCTGCGCGGGTGGGTAGCCTGAAGCCCGACTACCGTATCTGCCACTGGCCACATGGAGTCTTCAACTTGAACATGGGGCTCCTTCGTGTGATCTCTCCGACGCTCAGTGCCATTGAAGTCGACATGATGCACTTCGGGGATTATGTCCTCAGTGGTGTTGGGACACACACGACAACTAGCTAAAACGAGGGCTGAAAATCGATCCTGCCAGATGCAAACTCCAGCCTGAATGAGGAGCGGACCGAAATGAGTCTCCCACCGTACAGCTCTTCGAAACTTTGGACGTTGCAGACTTCGCCAGGACGGAGGATGACCAACTCGCGGGCTACGGCAAGAAGGGCCAAATCGGCCCAAGTGTTAAGATCAGCCTGTCCTGCACGCCGTTGGGATGGTGTTGTCTTGTAACAATCTTCCTCCACAATTTTTGGCCCCATGCGGACGAGGCAGTACCCGTGTGCCTCGTACTTTTCCATCTGCTGGCCCGTTAGAATTCCCCTCGCCCTCACACACGCTTCCAGCTCGTCCCAGGCGCGTTGGAAGCCCTCGGCCTCCCCCAGATTGGGTCGGTTACATGACAGGGCTGAGGTCAACAGACCGTCCATGGCCACTACTTTGCTTCCAGGACCTGGAGCTTCAAGCCAAATGGCCTTTGCGTCTTTGCTTCCATGCGGGGGCTCCTAAACCCGAAACCCATAAGGGTTTAGAGTTGACGGGTTTAGGGTTTAGGGTTTAGCGTTTACCTTGAAAATCAAAGGGCCGGCAATTGACCCTCTGCTGTCCCAAATGCAGCAGCCTTCACGCGTGGTCTAAGTCTCGAAACCTGAAATCACCCCCTGCCTCTTAGGACTGCGCCCAGCTTCTGGAAGTCTCCTGTTTTGGGTCCAGTCTGTCGAGGTTCGTTTCAGAATACTTGGAGGATCATGGGACTTAGTAAGTAAGGTTATAAGTACCTTAATTGGGTTATAAGTAGTTATAAGTATAGTTACCCTAATTATAACCCTAGTTACTAAGTCCCATGATCCTTTAAGTAGGGTTTGGGGGTCTGGGGTTCGGATTTACTTTTGGCTTCCACCATCGAACTCACAATGGTCTCAGAATCGTATACTGTTAGGCCCGTCAAGGGGAGTGATACCTCTGACAGGGCTTTGTCGACACGATAAGACATGTGTTTTGCTCTCCGACAAAGACTGCCGGCGCATCTGCGACAGTAGCCGTCGTAGTGGAAGCGGCAGCAGTAGTGGGAGTATCCGGTCGTGGTCGCAGCCGTGGTCGTTGTAGCAGTAACAAAACCGGTAGCAGCAGGGGAAGGGCGGCCGAAATCGCAAAGTACCGGTGGTCACAAAGCTAGCCCTAAACCCTAAAGCTAGCATAGCACACCGCATGGCCTTTCAAGTCTCCCCAGAATGCCCTTTGCTGCTTGCCTGGCTTCAAGGAACTGGGAGGTACAGTTGTACATTCCAGCATTAAACATAGACATCGTCTAGGTAGGGTCTAGGGTTTAGGGCTTTACTATGTTACATGACATAGTTACGAGCTTGTTGGTGTCGCTGGCGCTGGCGGTTCAGATTTAGAGGGCCGTGGATGCAACTCGGAACCCCTGGAACGCCCCTCTCCGGGTTTGCGTACAGCTCCTCTGCAGGATTCGTCATGTAGCTGAGTGAGACCTGCTGGCACAGGGTTTCAGATCTAGGTCATGTAAACCATGGAACCCCTTGGAACGGCACCTCAGCATGAAACAGTTAAACCCAAAACCCCAGACCCTCACCCACAAACCCCCGGTCCCGAAAAGCCCAATTCAGGAACAAATCCACGTCCACCCCTGTGGGATGTCGCGCGTAAGTTAGATTTAGGATTCCGGCTCAACATGTACAGCGGACGCGGCTGCGGTTTGACTAGGAATTGTTAAGCGTTTCAGCCCGAGGTTCCAAAAAAGCCTACTAAAAAAACCCTGTAAAACCCCAAACCCTAAATCCCAATGGAATCTTATCGTTCGCTTTGAAATCCTTAACAACCAAACCGCACTTGAAACCTTGAGGTCCTGAACGCCAAGCCCTCGTCGGAGTTTGAAGCAGCATCAGGATTATTAAAGTTTAGGATGCTATGATCTGGGGAAGCGTTAGGCCTCATAGTCCCAAGTCGCAATCCGAGCTCCGACGGGACAATAGAGCTGCGACTTTTTCGGGTTATGAGTTGTTTATTTGGGTTTTAGGGTGTTTCAGGGTTTAGGGTTCAGCATTTGGGTTTGAGGGCTTAGGGCTCAGTCTTCAGATGCTAAACTCCCTTGTCATGATAACCTGATTATCAAAAGGGGAAAAGGAGGGACCCTTAAGGGGGAACCCCTACCCTGTAATGGGCGACCTAATGGGTATATAATGGCTATATTAAGGGTATATACCTAGGTCCTTCTTAAGGGTCCCTCCTTTTATATACCCTTGGAAATTAGTTCCTCAACAAGAACCCAGGAAGGGGCCGAGAAGCTGGACACGGAGTCGTGAACTGTGAACTTCAAGCCCTGGAGCCCTAACCTGAACCTTTGGGGTTTAGGGTTTCGCATTTAGGGTTTAGCATTTACGGTTTAGGGTTTAGGGTTTTGGGGTTTAGGGTTTAGGGTTTAGGGGCCTAACCCGCGTCACAACACGCTAAGCCGTAAAGCTCTAACGTTTGAACTGCTCCGACAAGCCCTAAACCCTAGACCCTACCTATAGGCTCATACCCTACCCCTCTTATTAAGGTTCCCAACCATAAAACTAGATACCCTAAAAAAGGGGTAGGGTATGACCCTCCACGTGAACCCAAAGCACCATGCTCCGAGCCTTTTGCCTCCGACGACGCAGTTCGACGAGTCGGATATTAAAATCACTGAGACGGCGGTGTCTATGACCAGCCCGCAGCACCGAGAGGTCCATGAGGCTAAAACGATTTTGCCGTTTAGGATCATAAGAGGCTCAGGGTTTAGGGGTTTCGGGTTCTTAAGAGGTTAAGGGTTTAGGGGTTTCGGTTTAGGGTTCTTAAGAGGTTTAGGGGTTTAGGACGGTTTAAGGTTTAAGAAGATGCGGGCCTGAAGTCCCCGCCCCACATGGAGAAACATGAGCTATGGTGGATGAGGGCATCCTACACTGGCACTGGTATGCTACTAGAAAGGCCTTGATACTTTTAGAATAAGTATTTGGGTAGAAGTTAGAATAAGGAACCCCCTAAATAGTATAGGTCATTACTTAGGCCCCTGTAGTACTCTGGCAGCTACCTGCTGCTCTTGGCCAGACATGCAGTCCTAGCTTCGGGGTCGAAGTTTTAGGGTTGAAGGTTAGGGTTTAGGGTTTAGGGTCTAGGGTGCAAGCTTCGAAGTTCCGGATCAGGGTTTGGTGATGAACTCCAAGGCACAGTGCATAAACGATATGCTGCTCCAAGAGAAACCCCGGGTTTGAATAATGATCGGCTCGCAACGACACCAAAAGGAACACCTGCCCAAGAACCCGCGGTTCCGCACAAAGCAAACCCGAACGAAAACTGAGGACTTGCTGCACGATCGTATGAAACATGCGTGGTTCCTTTGAAACCCTCGTCCAAAGTGCCAGGCAAAGCATCAACTAACGAAACCAGACCTTTAGGTATCAGCTTGCCGTAAACTGAGTTGAGCTCTGAGCCATGCTCGATAGCCTTGGACCCCTGTGCCGAAACTCTCGGCGGGCCAGTCATCTTCTTGAGAAAGTATCTGGGAGCACGCGAGTCATGTCTGACCACCAAAAGCTTAAGTAACTGGGTTGGCCCTTTGCCTTGTAGTATATAACATAACTCCAGAAGCGTGACACCCCAGCTTTGAAACGAAAGGCGGGCTACATGACCAAATGGAGCACCGCACTTTCTCGTGCTGCAAGCGCAGGGGCGGCTAGAGCCTGCAGCGGATTCAGGTGGTAGGCGAGGCCGTTCACGGCTAACGGTATCCGGATACCCACGAACCCTGTAAACCCTGGCCGTTCCTAAACCCTAAACCGTTGAAGGGCCGAGCAAGATAAGACCTTGGTCTCGGGACAAAGAAACATCATGTGTTTAGGGTTTAGGCTCTATGAAGTGCGATTAGCCACATATTTTTTCTGTTCGTGATTATTCAACCTATACTTCGGCAGGGATTCGGGATGTGGCTTGTACGGCGCGGGCATGAAACGGCATATACAGTACTAGTTCACTAGAGTTGATTCGATGGGTCAGAAGCAACACATGCCGGACAGATCAGAAACATCACAAACCGAACTGAGAACGTTGAACCCGAAAGTCTGACTGTGGAATATCGGCTTGGGACAAGATTTTGGGATAAAAACTAGGACTTCTGCCATGCAGACATGGCAAGAGACGGCAGACAACTGATGAATTTCTGCAGTAGAAGCCATTTTGCTAAGCGAACCTACCATCGACACCTGCCGGTGTTTGCTATTCCCTTGATCTGCAGCTACGTCTGTATCATTCATGCCTATACATGTATGTACTCCTGTAAATCTAGCCTCTGCCCGTGCATGTGTAAGTCCAGTCATCAGGCTCGTCTGCAAAAGCCGCATGAATGTCTCGTCCGAAATAATGGTTTGTGTACACATCATCTAGCAGCTAGCGGCTGCATCCGTGTGTTGCTACTTGCATGTCTATGAGTCTTATGCTTATTCCTAGGTGTTCTGTGTGCTCGCGACTACATCCATAGCTCCAATCACAGATCTCTTTACCGTACCAGTTAATGTATGTGTGTGCATCCATCTGCATGGCACGAGCCGGCCTGTGCGGAGTTGTCTCAGCTTTTTGCCTTTCTGGGCAAGGATGCTTCAATGGTCTCCGGTTAAGGGTCTATTTCGAACGCGTGAGTAATTCGTAACTAGACCGATTGCCTTGTAGTCTTGCAGGCCCAACCTAATTTTAGAAAGGAACCAATATTCAACCCTGAATCCTAAACCCTAAACCCCTAGATCAGAGTTTCGGACTTTCGTGTTGGCTTCGGGTTGTAGCTTGCAGGGCTCAAGCTAAAGGAATGAATTGATTATTCTGCCATGAGTTCCTGTCAAGGATCCTTTCAGGGATCCTTTAAGGGTTCCTGTATGAGTTGGGCATCCCCTTTTCAGTGTGAGGAGGGTTTTTTTTTGGGGCTCCGCTCAGGGTGCAGTAGTTCACGTTCAAGCGGCGTAAACATCTGGATGGACCAGCACCAGAACTCCTAAACACCACCGGAAGCCAGATCCGGACACCCTAAACCCTAAACCTCAAAGCCCCTAGAAGCCCGAGTACGTTGAAAGATGTGGGGCAACTGAGAGAAACTGGGTGAGATCTAAGTAGCCCATGCTGGGTTTAGGGTTTGGGCATAAGAAAGAAGCACGTCGGGCTTAGGATTCAGGGCGGAGTTTTGGGAATCGCCTTGAGGGTTTAAGATGGTTTAAGGTTCCCTAAACCCCTCAACCTCAAACCTAAAACGTTCGGGTTTGGGGTTTGGAAAGGATTGGCGCCCGGAAATTCTCGCCCGGAGGAGCATCACAAATCGTCGCTAATCTTGCAGGACGTCTAGTTGCATCTACACGGATATGGAAGTCTTATAGCTCCGACGAAAATCCCCCCAACCCCAAACCCTTCC